GTGCAGCACGTCCTTAGCAGCAGAGTGCACTGAATGCGGTCCCAGCTGCCTGGACCCTGCTGTGGACGCCCCATGACAACGCAGGTCCACACACAGGAACTGGGGGAGGGGGTGGGAGGGGGGGAGTGTGGGCGTAGAAGGACGTGAAGAAAGGCATGGTTCGGCTGGTGGTGCTGCCGTGGACGCCCCGTGACAACGCAGGTCCACGCACAGGAACTGGAGGAGGGGGTGGGGAAGGGAAAGGGGAGTGGGAGGGGAGTTTTGAAAGGACGGAGCGAGGCATGGTCGAGAGATGCTGCTGTGGAGGACTCTGTGGCGAGGCGGCGAGCAAAGGAGGTACAATTCTTGCCGCTACCCAGGATGCCGTGAATGAGCACCGCTGTGGGGGGGACGGGTGGAAATGCCACCCCTCCTCCCCTTCTCCCCCACAACACATAGACTCACACACGATACACGCACTACACACTCAGACGAGCACCCACCTGCCAGGCAGGGAACTCAGTGGCTAGCCTCCTGGCAAAAGAGCCCCAGTTCTTGCCGCTGCCCAGAATGCCGTGAATGGATAAGCACTGCTGTGGGGGGTGGTAGCAAAGACAACCCTTCCCCCACTACCATGCGCATTCATCCACGCAAGGCAAACACCAGACAACCCACCTGCCAAGCGGGGAACTCTGTAGCGAGGCGGCGAGCAAAGGAGCCCCAGTTCTATTCCGCTGCCCAGGATGCCGTGAATGAGCACCGCCGCTGTGGGGTGAGGAGGCTAATGCCGCCCCTCCCCTCACTGCACACACCAATCCGACAAGGACACATGCACCCACCTGCCAGGCGGGGAACTCGGTTGCAAGCCTTCTGGCAAAGGAACCCCAGTTCTTGCCGCTGCCCAGGATGCCGTGAATGAGCACCGCTGTGGGGGGAGGAGGCTGGCGGCGAGTGCGGTCCTCCGACCACCGCACCTGAGACGAAGGCGGAGAGATGGAGGGAGGGGGGGGAGGAAAGGAAAGGAGAAACGGAGGGGAGGGGCAAGATGCCGTGGATGGATGAGCACTGCTGTGGGGGGAAGGAGGCTGGCGGCGAGTGCGGTCCTCTGACCACCGCACCTGATGGCGGGGAAGATTGAGGGAGGGGGGGGAAGAAAGGAGAAACGGATGACAGAAGGGAGGGACAGAGTGCAGCGGATGGATGAGCACTGCCGTGGGGGGAGTTGGTGGGCTGGCGGCAAGAGCGGTCCTCTGACCAACGCACCTGAGAGGGGAGCAGGAGGGAGTGGAAAGGGAGAATGGCTTACAAGAATTAAAAAAAAGCATGCTGCAACTTCGAGGGTGGGGGAGGGGAGACGAGGGGAGGCAGGGCTAGATGATCATCGAGACGAGGGGAGGCAGGGCTAGATGATCATCGAGACGAGGGGAGGCAGGGCTAGATGATCATCGAGACGAGGGGAGGCAGGGCTAGATGATCATCGAGACGAGGGGAGGCAGGGCTAGATGATCATCGAGACGAGGGGAGGCAGGGCTAGATGATCATCGAGACGAGGGGAATTTCAAAAATCACGCTGCATGTTGCTCACGGAAGGAGGAGCGGAGGGGCACACAAGGCTGGTCGAACGAGAGGCGACAGGTGAGAGGCGGGCAGGGAGGGTGATGGAGCCGGTGGGAGGAGGGGGTGGGGGAAAGGAGGGGGAAGGGAGGGAAGGACAAAGGATGCGGTTTGGAGGAAACAGATGGGCGGGTGACGAGTTCAGGCGACTGAAAACGGGACGAGCTGGAGGAGTGGATTGACACACAAGGTACAAGGTGTAAGGCGAGAGAAAGGCGAGGAAGGAGGGGAGAAGAGGCAAGGAGGAGAGACAAGAAGGAAGCGAGAGTGCCCTTCAGTGCGCCTTGCACGAGCTCGTACGACTGGATGGGGGCGCGGCAGGGGGGGGGGGGGAGGCGAGGGGACGAGCAGCAAGGGAGAAGGAAGCGAGAGTGCCCTTCAGTGCGCCTTGCACGAGCTCGTACGACTGGAGGACTGGAGGTGAGGCACGCATGAAAGGCATGGAGGGAAAGAGGCAAGAGGCGAGGGGGCGAACAGCTAGAGAGGAGGAGAAGGGTTCTCACTAGGGCGCCTTGCACGAGCTCGTATGACTGAAGGATGGAGGCGAGACAGCGGCCGTTGGCCCGGGCGATTTGATGCGGCACGCAGCAGAGATGGCAAAGGCGGGATAAGACACGTAAAAAGGAAATAGCACGGAGGGGGAAGGGGTGGGGGTGTGGAGGGGTGGGGGAGAATAGGGGAGGGGTGGGAGGGGGTGGAAGGGTTGGTTAGCGGAGAGGGAGTGAGAGGGAAGTGAGGTGGGACCAGGATTGGATAGAGAAGGCTGTACATGTGATTTTGCGGCGCCTCAAACACCGTCTCATCTCATACAGAGGGTGAATAGAGGAGGCTGTCAGGGTGCACATGTTGTTTAGTAGGCTCGTGAACTTACCTTCCCTTCTAACCCTCCGTTCCTCTGCGACCCTTCCCCGCTGCCCCGCTCCCTCGCTCCCCCTCCCATCAGCACCTCCCCCCAGAGACCACTCCACTCACCAGCTCAGCCGCGGGACTCGTCCCCTCCTGAACCCATGAAATGATTTCCCCCTTCTTCTCCCTTCCCCAGCCACCCTCCCGCGCTCCCCCAGCGACCACTGCACTCACCAGCTCAGCCACGGAACTCGGCTCTGGCCGCATGTCCGTCCAAAGCTTGCCCCCGCTCCCCCACGCTCTCCCTCGCTCCTCCTCCCCGCTTTTCCCCTCCCCCCAGCGACCACTGCACTCACCAGCTCAGCCACGGGACTCGGCCCCGCCCTGGCCGCATGTCCGTCCAAAGCTTGCCCCACCTCGCCGCCCAGCAGCACCTCCCGCATCTCCTCCACCGACGGCTCTCGCGCTCTCCGCTGCCGATCGGACGGTGGAGACGACACGAACTCGAAACGCGGCCCGACAACTGTCTCGGTCGCACCGCCGTCAGGCGCGGCGGCGGCGGCGGCCTGCCGGCCCCTACCGATGGCTTTGGCGGCGGAAGCGGAAAAACGAGGGGGGGAGGCGGCGGAGGCGGCGGAGGAGGAGGTGGTGGAGGGTGGAGAGGAGGAGTGAGGAGGGGAGTGGGAAGACGAGGGAGTGTGAGGGGAGGGGTCTGCGAGGGATGCTTGGGGTGGAACGAACTTGACTATTCGAATGCCGTTGACGATGCTGGTGGTGATGGTGGTGCGGCTGCTGCTGCTACCGAGTCTTATGTAAGTGTTGGAATTAGGGACGGCGGGGGATGCTAGCAGCGGGAAACGAGGGAGGGCGTTTCGGCGTGTGACTGTGCCGGAATGTGACTGCAAGCGAGGAAAAGGAGTGAGGAGGAAAGATGAATGAACGCAGAGAGCAAGACTGTCGAAATATTCGTGAATACATTTGAAATTCATGAACCAGGAAGTTGGGAGTATTCTAAAAGGGTGGAAAATGGCAGGGGATGGGGAAACGGTAGGGAGGGAAAGGGAGAAGGGTACGAGAGGAAGGGCGGGGAGACGGGAAAGGGAGGACGGAGGGAGAGAAGGGGGAGGAGAGAAATAGAAAAAGGAAGAGGAGGAAGGACGGACCACGAAGCGCGTGACGCACCTTGAGGGGGACGCGGATAACAATTTCTAGTCAACTCAGATATCGACGTGGATGACAAGTGCGCGGCGCAGGGACTGTCAGTAGAAACGCTATGTGAGCAAGAAGGTATGTTACGGGCAGAAAGCACAAATACGGGACGGCGGAAACGCACCGCGGATGATGATGATGCGGCGCGGGGATTGGCGACATTAGAGCCAGCGGGGGAGCGTGGCGGGGCGTGGAGGGACTGCGCCAGGCTGGCCATCTTGGAGACTGACATGGCGGCGTAACGACGGGCGACGCGTGCGAGATTCGCGATTTCGGAGCGTGCGAACGTCGCGATCTCGACGCGTGTGAAATTTCGCGGTTTCGATGCGAGTGTTCGTCACAAATTCAATTCGAACGAGCACGACTTGAGTAGCGTGCACGAATGATCTTACGTTGGCGGAAAGGACGTCACAAGGGAAACGTGAGAGCCGATGGATACGATCAGCAGGATTGCTGGAAAAAGAGCGGTAAAAGAAAAGACGTAGGTAGCGTTGTGAAGGATTTGAGGAGTATGCCAGTTTCTCTCGAGAGGCAACTGCACCGTTCTGCAAGTGAACAGAGCGGTGGGGAGGGGGGTTTTCCTTGTGGTTGGGTGGGGTGGGGTGGGGTACGACGACTCGCAGCAGCACACGAGGAACTCGAGGGATGGATGCAGTGTGTACAGAATACAGATCAGCTACGCAGGCAAGTTGTGGTCGTCGTGACTCAACGTATTTGTTCGTTGCTTTCGCATTCGCGAAACAGAGCTTTGCTGTTAGTGGCCGTCAGAGCTGTCGCCAATGATAGGTTGGTGTTCACGACGAACAAGCGAAAGTAACAATGCTCGTCAACCCTGAACAGAGATCACAATCTCTGTGCTCGACGCGGTTCGAGGACACCTTTGCTGGCTGGCGAAGCGAGTGACGATTGGCGAACTGGCCTCGCACAAATTTCGGAAATGGACGGAAAGTTGAGCCTCGTTCAATCAAACTGTCTCGATTCTCGAGTGGAACTGAACACACACGTGTACTCCCGGGCAGATGACAGAAAAAAAGAAGAACCGTTGCGCGAACACCTGGTCAATTCACCACCATCCAATACATTTTGAGCATCTAGCAGGGTTTTAGGATGACGTGGAAAACCACCACCAACCACGGAAAAGTCTCGATACAGCTAGACTTCGTCTCACCTGCACGTGTGAGAGATTGCGGAATGGAACGAATGGCTGTTTTTGCAAATGTCGAGTCAGTTCGGAAAGAACCATTTTGACTTTCTGCACCACTTCACTTCGTGCACTCTATACTACCACCAGCACAAATATCTAGTAAGAAAAATCGTAAAATCATGTAAATAAAACAATACTCATCAGCCCATCACATCTCCAATGGGCGGACGGCAATCCCACTGGGTCTATCTGCACACGGCATGAGCGGCACATCCGGCGCTACAGCCAGCAGCATCTGTAGCTGCTGGGGAACCCCATCCGGGCACCGGTCATTACTGGGCGGGAAGTGCAAGCACGGCTCAGTTATTGCTCGGATACATGTGGGCCCCACGAAGGAAACATAGGGAACTCCGAAGAGAGACGCGCTGACGTACCCAAAGGTGGAGTTGCGGGAGATTACAAGGGCATCGGAAAAGAGAGCGAGCGTGTAGATATCGAGAATGGCCCGATCAACCAGTGCGGTGTCGGTGTTGTTTTCCGACTCGTCGACCGTCAGCCGAGCAATGTGCACGTGGGAACCCGCCGGGTTTTTGACACCAATACTGGGAGGCACTTCAAGTTGTGCAGTGGCAGCACAAGGGGTGTCGCTACCCGCGGTCACCTGTGCTCCTGGCACGCTGCCTGCTACAATCACTGAGAGGTTGTGAGCCAGCACAGGACTGAGCGACGCTACCATCACCTCAGTCACACCGCTCGGAGAATCGCTCCCAACCGCACTGCACCCAAGACCACCACTGCCGCTGTTGCCATCACCACCGGTACCACCTCGGTTCGATAGCCGTACCTCCCGTGCCTGTTGCACAGACGAGGAGTTCAGAGCCTCTATCAAGCACCGCCCCATAGCCTTGGTCTCCCAGGGAATCCCCCTCTCTAACGCCTGCTTCTGAAACCGCCCCTGCAGGCCGATCCGGGCAGAGGCCGGGGCGATGAGGGAGTGGAAGCGGCGGGTGAGTTGCGCCCAGATGCGGTTTCTGGGGAAGAGGAGGAGGCGGGGGAGAGGGAGCGGAAGGGGTGGTGGGAGGGGAAGAGGAGGAGGAGGCGGCGGCGGAAGGATGGGATGAGGTAGAGGGCCGGGAGGAAGTATTGATTGGAGTAGCTGAGAAGGGTGGGCGTGCGGGAGAGCCATTGCTGCTCGGATTCACAGAAGAAGAGATGACCGGATGGTTTGGTGAAATGGGTGATGTCGACCCGTAGGCTGCAGGGGAGCGAAGGAGGGAAGGAACGAAAGGGGAAGTTAAAGGGGAAGAGAAGGAAGAAAGGATATGCGAAAGCAAAGGAAGGAAGAGGAAAAGAGAAGGGAAAGAACGATAAAGGGAAGGGGCGAGTGAGGGAAGGGGCGAGTGAGGGAAGGGAAAGAGAGAAGTAAGGACATGTCGAAAAACGAATGCTAGAAAGCTGGGACGGAGGACTACCTCCCGCTACGTAGCACGCCTTGAAAACATGAGACGATCCAGATGGCTGCTTCACCTTGACGATCCACATGCCGTCGACTATGTTCCTTTTAAGAAGGGGGGAAACTGCGTTGTCGTAGGTGTATGTGGATCTCCAAGATGCTATCTCTACGTCCATGGATGTTATCCACTAAGAAGTCCACTTTCTCAAGATCGCCTCAGTGTAAATGCGTGGAATTGGGATGTCAAGAGCGTCTGGGTCACCATCTACTAGCAGCAGCATGGTACAGAGGTGAGGAACAGCGACAACAAATAACTCCAGCTCAAGCTGTTTGTCCTCGAGAACTTGTTGTACTCAGACTGGTTGCACGGTATGACATGAGACGATATGGCATGGTATGGCATGAGACAGTATGGCATGAGACAGTATAGCATACAGCATACGTACACTGGTGGGACCATCGAACCGCTCTCCTCCTCCTCGCGCACGCTCCTCCACTCCTTAGCCACCTTAAACCTCAGCATCCACACATACTTCTCCCTATCCGGCCCGTCAAAAAGCACCCACGACGCATCTTCACCCGCCTTTTCCAATGCCTCTTGACCGGCCTCTGCCGATGCCCCATGCTCAAACGGTTCGCAGTATTCTTCAGCCAGGCCGCTACCAGACGCAAGCAGGAGGATTCGGTCCGTCAGGAGCGCGTAGGCAAAGGCAGACATGAGAGACACGAGCCGGTTTCCCTGCCCGTCCCGCGTGTGGTAGTAGACTAAGTAGCGGCAGAGCGTGGGCTTGTTGGAGAGGAGAGTCGCTCGGAGGGTTTCTTTAGGTTCTTTCAGCAGGCATTCTCTTCGGTATGTGTGGTACTGACGCATCTTCATCTCGAGTCTCTCTGACATTTCACCTCCTGTGCTTCCAGCATTGGCCGCATAGCATGGGAGCTCTGCCCTGCTCCAGCACTTGCCTGGTTCTCGTTTGTAATGTGAGGCGTGTGGGGAGTTATGAGGGGAGGCTTGAGGGGAGGCGCGAGGGGACACGTGTGCTTTTCTCTGCAAGGCACGGCCTGGCCTCACCCTGCCCCGGCTGCTACCGCCGGTGGTGGGGAGGGGGCGGTTGGGGGTGGGCATGGTGGTGGGGTTGGGTGTGGGGGTGCTTTCTGGGTATATTGTTGATGGGAGAGTCGTTCCTGCTGCCAAGATGTCCGCACAGTCTGCAGGGGAAAGTGGCCAGGGGAGGGGAGACTGAGAGGAAGGGGAAGAGAAGGGGGAAGGGCAGTGAAGAGAGCAGGGGACGAAAGCGGATCGGAAAGGCACTCCTGCTGCAAAGATGTCCGCGCACTCTGCAGCGGGTGGGGGCGAGGGGGGAAGGGAGGGGGAGAAAGAGAGAATGTGGCAAAGGGGGTAGCGGGCAAAGTGGGTGGCGAGTAATTGTTGATGGGAGAGTCATTTCCTGTTGCAAGAATGCCTGCACAGTCGGGAGTACGACTTTTGCGGCGCCTCAAAAGGCAATTGCTGCTGGGAGAGTCATTCGTGTTGCAAAAAATGCCTGCACAGTCGGCCGTATGGGTGAGAAGGGACTTTTGAGACGTCTCAGAAGGGGAGGGAAGGGAGGGGGGTAAAACAGGAGGGAGAGGGCGGCAGGAGGGGAGGGGTGTTGTACCAGTGGGAAAGGGTTATAAACTAGAAAGGGGCTAGTAACTGGTATTAATAACAGGTGCCCATAGAAAGAGCTAGAGGTGCTGAAGGTGCTAAAAACAGGTGCTCAAATCAGGTGCTAGAAACAGGTGCTGAAACAGGTGCTAGCAGGTGCTAGAAACTGGTGATTTAACAGGTGCCTAAGCAGGCAAAAAAACAGGCTAAAACAATGGAAGTACAGATTGTGTGAGGGGAGAGCAGATAGTGAGGCTTGTTCTCTGGCTTGTGCTGTGTGGAATTACTCTGAGAAAGCCAACTCTGAGAAAGCCAACTCTGTGAAAAGCCTAATTCAGGGAAAGCCAAACTCACTGTGACGTGGGCCTTTCAGACATGGAGTTTGATTTTGAGTCGACTCACGAATCCTTTCAGACAAGGAATCGCACATAGCAGTCGCTATTACAGATTCTCAAGAGCGACTCAGAGAGTGAGCAGCAATGGTTAATAGTACCACCTCTAATGTTCTGATCTCTCGGGCGACACTCCGTGTGGGATGGTGCCGAGCCGATGCAGGCGAAGCAGGCAACCAGCAGCAGCAGCAGCAGCAGCAGCAGCAGCAGCAGCAGCAGCAGCAGCAGCAGCAGCAGCAGCAGCAGCAGCAGCAGCAGCAGCAGCAGCAGCAGCAGCAGCAGCAGCAGCAGCAGCAGCAGCAGCAGCAGCAGCAGCAGCAGCAGCAGCAGCGGCGGCGGCGGCGACGGCGGCAGTGGCGGCGGCGGCGGCGGCGTTGGTGGCAGCAGCAGCAGCGGTGGCGGCGGCAGCAGCAGCAGGAGGAGGAGGTGGAGACCCCATGTGGGATGGATGGTGCCAAGCTTGCACCTTCTGGGCATGGGATCACATCACACATTGCCGCACCTCGTACCTCTCATGCTTTTGATGTGCTCCAAGGCCCAAACCCCATGAGGGATGGTGCCAATGCTGGAGAAGCAGGCAAGCAGCAGCAGCAGCAGTGGCGGAAGGAGCAGCATGCGTTGGTGGAAGGGACCTCGCCTCCCTTCACTTGCTGTACGCCGATAAGGAGGGAAGATTCTGGAAGGAGGGAGCAAAAGGGAACGGGGTGGAGTATAACTTTTGGTTCGACTGCAAACTCACGGGTCAGAAGCAGCAGCAGCAGCAGCAGCAGCAGCACGAGGTGGGGAGGGGTTAGAAGGAGTAGGCAGCATGTTGGGTGGCGCTGGGAGTGTGCGTGCATGAGTTCACAGGGATCACAAAGGGAGAATATTCTCCTTACTGTGGGAGGAAAGTGACTTTCGAGAGGCGCCTGCAAAATCGTCTCACTTCACACGGATTTTATGCAGAGAAAAAAGATTGACAGTGCGGTGGGGTGGGGTGGGATGGGGTGTGGAGGTGTGGGAAGAGGTGAATAAGGGGGACAGCAGTGGGGGGAGGCAGAGGCTGGGAGGGTATTCTAACGTCTGATTGGGGGTACAGGTGGGGTTTTGGGATGGGAAGTGGGAGGTGGGGACGGAAGGAATTGGAGAAAGAGGAGTTGAATGTGGTGGAGGGTGGTTGGCCTGATGGGGGAGCGGAGGGTGTGGAGTGCTGGGAGTGTGGGGAGTTGACTTGAAGGGGAGGCAGGGGAAATGGTGGGGGGAGTGATAGTAGGGAGGCGGGTAGCAGGCTGGGTGGGAGCAGGAAGGAAAATTGCTCATCATGGGGCAAGTTGGCAAATTGGCGAATCTGTTGATGCTGTTGTGGCTGTAAGGAATCACTTGGTAAACCAACGAGTCGCTCACAGCGCGGAAAACTATGGTAACGAAGTGAAATGTGAAATGAATGTGCCTGTAGACAGTGTGACTCTAGGGAGTGTGATTACTGAATGTGCCTATAACGAGTGTGACTATACCTGGTGAAGGCGAGGAGGCCCTCCCAGAGCACCAGGAACTCCTCTTCCCCCTCCCGCTTCACCCCCCGCGAGTCGAACACGCAGGCGCCCCCCGCGCATCCCGCCGCGCATCCCGCCTCGCATTCCGCCGGGCATCCCGCGGCGCCGCGCATCCCGGCTCCCTCTGCGCCCTCTCCGCGTATCCCTTTGATGGGGGACGCGAGGAGGAAGGGACCGCGATCCTACGGCGATTTCCGCGCCGACGCAACAGACACGCGCGGAAGGGCAAGTGAAGCGCGGAGATGGGGAGAAGCGGAGGGGCGGGGCGACCCTACGGCGATTTCTGCGCCGACCCAACAGACCCGTGCGGAAGTGCAGGTGAAATGCGAGGTTGCGGCGACTTCGCGGCTGGTGCGGCTGGTGCGTGGTTGCTCACAGCACTCTAAAGCTTTTCGCAGAAAATTTTTGCTCGGAAAGGCGTAAGCTCTAGCCTCGCCTCGCTAGTAAGCATTATCGCTTCTTTCGATTGCGCTCCGTCAGCTCTTTGCCTTCCAGAGTAACGGAAAGGGGCAGGCGCAGTCCGTCAACGTTGCACCCGGTTGTGAATTGCGAAAATGAAATTCGCCGAAATTGAAAGAATTTCGACGATTCGTAACAGAACTGGTTGTTTAAAAAAAAACAGACTGTAATGTTTTGCTTGTGCATTCCCTTGTAAAAGCTTTCAATAAAAAAAAAGTGATTGTTTCAACAAATCTGCAATCATTTCAGTTTTAGTGAGGACATTGGGCATAGTTAATACCAGGACGATTGCGACCTATCGGGTATTGCAGTCACGTGAAAAAATAGTGCGATTTCTCTCCTGTGCTAAGGGATTCATTACTTAATACAAGGATTTGGCAAGAATAAGGCATCCGCATTATAATAGCTCAGCCCCCGCTGGGCTTTGGACCTGGAAAGGGAAAGAGACGGGCTACAGTCCAGTGGTCGCTGGATTTGGCAGAGGAGCTGCCCCTGTCCACGAAAAGGAAGCAGTACATCCTAGTTATGATCGAACATACCAGCAAGTGGGTGGAGGCCAGGGCGTTGCCCAGCAAGAACAGCGGTTTGATTGCGGAGGTATTCGTGCAAGAGGTGCTTACCAGTTTCGGAGAATAACAAACGGAACTGGGATAAGGAGCTCCCATGGGTTCTAGCGGGGTACAGGGACGTTGCTAGTCAAAAACCCCGTCTGAAAACCAGACGGGGTTTTTTTCCTTCGTCTTGAGGAGATAAACTCTACAACGGTGGGAGCTAGACTACAGGGTGGGCACTGGTTGTAGGACTGATCGTAGCTCTGTTAGTGTTCTCTAGGACTTGTGTTTTTACAGGGCAAAACAGCAAGAGTTTCACTAAGGAAAAGTTGAGAATACAGAGTTCAGAATGATAACAAGCAATGGAAAAGATTGACTACATCACATGCAAGGTTTGCTAGTGCTCAGGCAGGTCGACTGCCAGCGTGACAGAGTTGTCGACCTGCCAACGTAGCAAGTCTGCGGTCCGCCAACGCAGCTTGTGTGCGACTTGCCAACGCTGCAGATGGCGGCCTGCCAACGCTGCACCCGCGCGGCTTGCCAACGCAGCATCCGCGCGGCTTGCCAACATTGCATCCGCAGGTGATTGTAAGCACATGTGCAGGCACCTACTTCGCAGGTGCTTGTAGACAGTTATGCACGACGTGCACTGTCAGCCACATGCTGACGGTTGCACATGATGAGCCACGTCGACCACGTGCTGCCACGTCGGTCGACTTCGCCACAACAGCCTCGACGACGTTCGCACACCTTCGCGCACTCGTCGAGGAGGTAACTTGGTCAACCAGACGAAGTCCTTGACATCTCTGCAAGATGATGACCTTCGTCATCACCGGTTGATGACCTTCGTCGTCGCGGGTTGACGACCTTCGTCGTCGCTGCTCGACGACCTTCGTCGAGCACCCTCGTTGAGCACCTCGGTTGACATTTCAAAATGTCAGCCCCTGATTGGTCGAAATTAGGGCACATTCGAATTTCTGGCCAAAATTCGCTTGTGCAGTCTCAAGGTTGCGCAGGGTCAGACGCGACCCTGCGCAGACGAACACCCGCGAACTTCTGCACGAGCTGTGCAACTTGTACATGCGCACGGGAAGACTGTGTTGCACTCGCGGATGCTTCAATTACTCTTGCATGGATTCCCTAGTACACCTCGTGTACAGGCAACCCTCGAACACCTGGAGAAGGTCGGCTGCACCTCCCGCACACCCGACCATGAAGTCAGTTTTGCCCATGCGAGGGCGGGGCCAACTTCCTTCAACACTCCCCTGCCGCGCTCAGGCTTGGGCACCCCACGCACAAGGTCCACCCAGAACCCAAGGGATAGTATACACTGGGAAAATCCTTCGTCAGCGTGCACACAACACACAGCACGCCGGTCACCGCACCAGCCGTGCAGAAGGGCACGGCACCTACTGCTGCACATCGTCGTCACCATCGCCAACGTCAGCCAGACGAACTTGGCCGATCGCGACGGAGCACTGGTTGAAGGCCGGAAAGTGCAGCCCCTTCGTCAGGATGTCAGCTGGCTGCTCAGAGGTGGGGATGTACTTCAACTCAATCTTCCCACGCTTCACCATCTGCTGCAGCCAAGCATAACGTCGCTCCATGTGCTTGAGGTTGCCCTTCAGCCCCAAGCCTTCCGCGACAGTGATGGCTGACTGGTTGTCCACACGAAGGACAGTCGGCGTCCCAGGGTCTAGTAGCTTGAACTCTGCAAGGAGGAAGCGAAGTCGACGAGCCTCCTTGCCAGCTTCCGTGGCCGCAACGTACTCCGACTCGGTCGAGGAGAGCGTCGCACACTTGATGCGCTGGCTCGACCAGGAAACTGCGGCCCCTCCGAAGACGAACACATAGCCACCTGTGCTGGTCCGGTTCTGCTTGTCGCCTGCGTCATCTGCGTCCACGTAGCCAACCAGGCACAGCGAATCTGGTCCACCGCCAAACTCCAAGGCAGTGTCACGGGTGTCGGCGAGGTAGTGCAGACAGCGGTCGACCTCGCGCCAGTGGTTATCACTCCGCACCGTCAGGCCGCTTCCCAGCTTGCTGCACGCGAACGCGATGTCCGGCCTCGTCGTCGTTGCCGCGAACTGCAGCGAGCCAACCTTCTGCCTGTACTCTTCCTCCTCGCGCGCTTGAGCATCCTCGTCATCGAATGTCAGTTCCGCATAGGCGTCGACGGAAATCGGCGTCTTCGGGATGCGCCCGGTCTGCTCCTCGTCGATGAAACGCCTGCGCAGCTTGTCGGCGTACGACTGCTGGTGCAGCCACAGCTTCCTTGCCGACCTGTCGCGCACGATCTCCAGCCCAAGGTACCTCTCGACCGGGTTGATCTCGCGCAGCTCAAAAGCAGCCTCCAGCAGCTCCTTCAGCTCCTTAAGCATCGCGAGGCTGCTGCTGGCAGCAAGCAGGTCGTCAACGTAGACAAGCACCCAGCACATCACTCCTCCGTCGCCGACCTTGAAGTAGAGAGCCTCGTCGACCTGGCTCTTCTTCTAGCCAGCGCCCAGCAGCACTCCATCGAGGGCCCTGTACCACAGCAGGGGTGACTGCTTCAGTCCGTAGAGGCTTTTCAACAGCTTGCACACCCGGCCAGTTCCATCATCATAGTAGTATGGCTGGTACATGTACAGCACCCTGTCCAGCTTACTCTGCAGGAATGCATTCTTCATGTCAAGCTGCATCAGGTGCAAGTCGTGGACAGCGACGATGCTGAGGAAGATCCTCAACGTGACGTAGCTGCTGACCGGAGCGTACGTCTCTTCGTAGTCGTCGCCGTACACCTGCGTAAAGCCCTTCACGACCAAGCGTGCTTTCTCGCGAGCGACCGTATCATCGATGTGGTACTTCGTCGTCAGCACCCACCGGTTCTTCATGATGTTCACCCCGCGCGGACGTTCGACCAGCTCCCATGTTCCATTAGCGATGAGGCTGCAAATCTCCTCGTCCATCGCCGCCTTCACTGCCTTGCCTTTCCAGCTCGCCAGGGCCTCCTTCACTGTCATCGTCGCGATGTCCCAGCGATGCTCTGGGTCAGCGTGCACGTCAGGGTCGAGCTCGGGCAGGTCGACGTCGTCCTGCGCATCGTCGAGCAACGTGCTGTAGGAGGTGGGGGGCAAGCAAGCATGGTAGCTCAGCTTCTCGCGAGGCTTCCCAAAGTTGACACGAGTGGAACGTCGCAACGGAGGCTCGTCAGCTTTGACTTCCACCACATCGCTGTCAGTGGACTGCTCCCCTGCCGACAGCTCCCCTTCATCGTCATCAGGTTCACCAATGACCTCCACAACGTCACTCGATGAACCATCGTCGAACTGCTCCCCTGTCGGCGGTTCCTCTGCAGACGCTTCTTTCGTCAATGGCTCCCCTGTCAGCTGCATCTTTTCCACCCGCAGCTCCCCTGCCGTCGAAGGCTTCGCACCCTCGTCGACGAGCTTGACATCACGTCGGCCGCTGGCGATGCCCCTGGACGGCGCCACAGGCAACGTCCGCAGGCTCCCCTCGTCGCCAGTGGCTGACGAAGGTGTCTGCTCAGGCAAGTCGGCGACAACAGGTGGTGCAGTAGGAACAGGAGGAGGAGGAGTAGGATGGACCTCCTCGACATCCTTGTCAGCAGCCTCGTCAATCTCGGCGAGCAGTGGAAACGTCGCCGTCGAGGAGTCAGTCGGAGAGTGGGTCTGTGCCCGTGCAGACGCTGGCCCATGCGTCACCTTCCACACCTCCAGAGACATCGTCTCGTAGAAGATAGCCTCGACCGTTGTGACAAGCTTGTTGTCAGTCAGGTCGAGCACTTCCCATCCCTTGCTCTCTGGTGACACACCCAGGTGTAGCCCCCAACGAGCCTTCGACGCCAGCTTCCCACCACGCTGCTGCTCAGGGACCATGAACTGCACCATGCAGCCCCACACCCTCGCCAGAGTGAGATCAGGCTTCTTGCCTGTCAGCAGCTGGTGCGGCGTCGTCCCCAGAGGCAGCGTCGTCTCCAAGCAGTTGCGCACCCAGACGGCCTGTCGCAGGGCGAGATGCCACCAGTGGTGCTGCACGCCCATGTGCAGCAGCATCGTCCGCACGGCCTCGACGACCGTCCGCATCTCCCTCTCCGCCATGCCGTTCTGCTGCGGAGTGTACGGACAGGTCAGGTCGTGGACGATGCCTTTGCCGTTGACGAAGTTGGTGAAGTCCTTCCCCAGGAACTCGCCTCCGCGGTCAGAGCGGAGCATCATCACCGACTTCTTGGTTTGCCTCTCCACGACCAACAGCCACTGCTTAAACACTTCCAGGACGTCGCTTTTCTTGGCGACCGGCCTCACCCACACGTAGCGAGTCTTTCGATCCTTCAGCAGAAGGAAGTAGTAGCTGCCATCCTTGGCAGCCACTCGGAACGGTCCGCACAAGTCAATGTGCACAACGGCAAGGGCTTCCTCCGCATCCGAACCTTTGTCGGGGAAGGTATGCCGTGCAAGTTTGCCACCTACGCAGGAGACGCACGGCAAATCGGTCCCTGTGGAAGGCGTGATGTCCAGGCCAGTGGCAACATTGTGCTTCGCCGAGCTCTTGATGATGTCGACACCAACATGCGCAAGCCTCACGTGCCACCTGGGCGGCGTCGACTTCGTTGCCGAAGCAATCGTTCGCAGAGCCACCACCTCAGTCGACTTCGATGACAGCTTTGTCGAGAAGGGTTGAAGGTTGGTGCAGAGGACGCGGCCGCTATAGCGTGCTCGACCGAGCACCTCCCAAGTCGCGTTGACGAGCATCGTCTCGTCACCGTCGTCCTGCAGCTGCACACCATTCTCCTTCAGCTGACCAGCTGACAGCAGGTTCGCCTGCACGCCCGGGACGTAGAGCACGTCGGGGATGAGGACCTGCTTCCCGGCCTCCCCTTGCAGAGCGACGGTGCCTCGGCCCTCGACGGTCTGCAGAGCCCCGTTGAAGCCACGCACATGCTTCACATTGCCGCTCGGCCCCATGTCGACGAAGGCCTCCTTCGTCCCCATGAGGTGGTGTGAGCAACCGCTGTCGAGCAGAACCACCATTGGATTTGCCTGCACGGCTGCGGCGACCGCTTTGAAGTCTTCGCCGGCCTCTGGTGCCAGCAAAACAGTCTGCTCCACCATGCTGACCATTGAGCAGGCCGCCTCTCCATCACCTTGCCCCTTGCCGCTGGAGGAGTCGACCTCCTTCGTCGACGACGTCTTCTTTGACGTCTGCTTCTCCTTGCGCGGCTTCTCGTCCCGACTTTGACGACCGTTGGCCGACCTTCCGCGGCCTCCCTTGTGGTCATCGTCGTCAGTGTCTTCTCGGTCAGGGCAGTTATAGGAGAGGTGGTCGGCGCTTCCGCAGACCCAGCACTCACGCCGTCGACCACCCTTGTCGCGACCACTGTCACGAGTTGATTTCGCCTGGTCGGCGTCCTTCGCCGACCTCCCACCTCCGCTACCACCTCCGCCAGACTTTCCTCGCTGCCCCTGCGGACGATTCTGCTTCGTCGGTGCAGCGTAACTCGCCTGCGGAAGGAGCTCCGTGGGCTGCTCTGCCTCCTGCATAGCCTCATCTTGAAGGATGTAGCTGGTGATTGAGTCCTCGTCGAGTGACTCCCGCGTGCCGGGCACCATCATCATCCTCTTCATGAGGTTGTAGCTACGCGGCAGGCCCTTGACAACGTGGGTGATGTAGGACGCCGTAGAGTATTCGGCGCCCGCCATCCGCATTTCGGCCAGTATCCGTCGAGCACGGTTGCAGTAGTCCGTCGCCGACTCCTGCTCACCCATCCGAAGATGTGTCATCTTCTCCTCTAGCTGTCCGATGTACAGGTCGTCCTTCGCCTGGTACGTCGACAGGATGAAGTGCCATGCTTGGTGACCAGCATCCAGACGCTCTCGACAGCTCCTGAGCGCAAGCTGCACCACCGGCGAGCAGCACCTCGAGATGACCATGAAAGTGAGCAAGTGAGCAGCACGAAACTCCCCGCGCAGCTCGACATCGCCCTCGTGCGGAATTGGCACAGTGCCGTCGGCGAAGCCCTTTAGCCCGGCGACCTCCAGCTGTGGTTCTATCGACTCCCTCCAAGTGATGAGGTCCCGTCGACCTTGCAGAGGTGCGACGGTGATCTTGTCCGGCGAAAACTTGAAGTAGCCATACGCCGGCGCGATCCCGCCCGCTGTCACATGCGTCGTTGACGAGGGACTTCCACTGCTTCGTTGAGGTGCCATCGACCGCTGCACTGGTGCGTGACTCCCGCCAACACCACCGTCAACAGACCTGAGCACTCCTATCTGCCTCGTGCCCTTGTTGCCATGTACTCGTGCACCGCCGTCGACCTCCTCGTCGACGCCACCTTCGTTGCGTGTCGGTCGAGGAGATGCAGGACGGGAAGGGTGCTCCGTCGCCCACTGCGCCCGGATGCCCAGCTCGACGAACTCCAAGGGGATCGTCCCGTACTCGCCAGCCTCGTGGCGTCTCCTCGCATTAGCTAGTCGTGTCTCCAAGGTGTCCGCTACACCCGCGTCAACTACGGGGTCGACCATGGTGACTTAAAAGGCTGCCGGCCTACGAACGACTTAGTAGGTGCAAAAGTTGGCTCCTATCTGAAGGTCGCGTGTTCGTTCCACGCTCACCGCACCATGAGGAGATAAACTCTACAACGGTGGGAGCTAGACTACAGGGTGGGCACTGGTTGTAGGACTGATCGTAGCTCTGTTAGTGTTCTCTAGGACTTGTGTTTTTACAGGGCAAAACAGCAAGAGTTTCACTAAGGAAAAGTTGAGAATACAGAGTTCAGAATGATAACAAGCAATGGAAAAGATTGACTACATCACATGCAAGGTTTGCTAGTGCTCAGGCAGGTCGACTGCCAGCGTGACAGAGTTGTCGACCTGCCAACGTAGCAAGTCTGCGGTCCGCCAACGCAGCTTGTGTGCGACTTGCCAACGCTGCAGATGGCGGCCTGCCAACGCTGCACCCGCGCGGCTTGCCAACGCAGCATCCGCGCGGCTTGCCAACATTGCATCCGCAGGTGATTGTAAGCACATGTGCAGGCACCTACTTCGCAGGTGCTTGTAGACAGTTATGCACGACGTGCACTGTCACACACATTGCGCAGGTTGTCAGCCACATGCTGACGGTTGCACATGATGAGCCACGTCGACCACGTGCTGCCACGTCGGTCGACTTCGCCACAACAGCCTCGACGACGTTCGCACACCTTCGCGCACTCGTCGAGCAGGTAACTTGGTCAACCAGACGAAGTCCTTGACATCTCTGCAAGATGATGACCTTCGTCATCACCGGTTGACGACCTTCGTCGTCGCGGGTTGACGACCTTCGTCGTCGCTGCTCGACGACCTTCGTCGAGCACCCTCGTTGAGCACCTCGGTTGACATTTCAAAATGTCAGCCCCTGATTGGTCGAAATTAGGGCACATTCGAATTTCTGGCCAAAATTCGCTTGTGCAGTCTCAAGGTTGCGCAGGGTCAGACGCGACCCTGCGCAGACGAACACCCGCGAACTTCTGCACGAGCTGTGCAACTTGTACATGCGCACGGGAAGACTGTGTTGCACTCGCGGATGCTTCAATTACTCTTGCATGGATTCCCTAGTACACCTCGTGTACAGGCAACCCTCGAACACCTGGAGAAGGTCGGCTGCACCTCCCGCACACCCGACCATGAAGTCAGTTTTGCCCATGCGAGGGCGGGGCCAACTTCCTTCAACACGTCTGAGCGTCAGATGAAAATTTATGGCTAGTCTGGAAATTCAGACGAAATATTTTACCAAGTCTGTAAAATCAGATGAAAACGAAACATATGTCTGAGGATGACAAACATGTAAAACTTTAGTTCCCAAAATCGCATGCCTTTGTAGTGGAATATCTGCTTGAAATTCGGAAGTGTGGCGGAAAGGCTATGAGAGCAGAGAGAATCTCCCCCTCAGCAGCAAATGTGCCTGCGTGTCAGTCAGCGAATGTGTTGATGTGTCAGAGAACCATTTGATGCGTCAGAGTGAGCCTTTTGACGCGTAAGGGAACATTTTGACGCGTCAGAGTTAACAATTTGACGCGTCAGAGTTGACATTTTGACGCGTCAGAGAACACTTTGGCGCGTCAGTGAATGCACCCCTCTGCAAATTTACACGTGGCCTAGTGGGGGGTATCGTTGGTCTCAGACGAAATAATCCGCGTTGTCTGTGAATTCAGACAAACTGTACAAGCTCGTCTGAAAAATCAGACGAATAAATTTAGCACGTCTAGTGATTCAGATGAAAATTAATTCACTGTCTGCAAATTCAGATGAACACTAAAAAATATTAGAATGGACTAAGCTACTAGCGGAAGCTTTAGTAGTCTTAGAACCTCCTCCTAAAGCCTAGGAATCTTAGGAGCCCACTTGGGCATGAACCATGCTAGAACCAAAGTGGTTTCCAAGAAGTGAAGTTCCAACAAGAGAGAACCCTAACCTATAGGGTTTGGGAGGTGGTCCACTCTATAGAGTGTACACCACAAGTTCTCCCAACCTAACCAGTGTATTCTACACTACTATAGTGTAGATGTATCACTACATATGTTTATTGGAGCAACCCAAATTAACCTTAGTTCCAACACCCCCCCTTGCTCCATTAAGCATTAAGGTGCACCCATAAATCAAAACACAACCCCTCCAGCGAATGAAGCCTTGGCCTTCGCAGCCATCGCTCGTATGCCGATGCGCTCCAGGTTCTCATGCAGCTGCAAGCTTGGAAGAGCTTTGGTGAGCATGTCGGCATCCTGGAGGTGGGAACGTACTGAGTGCACCTCGACCTCCTGCTGGCGCACCGCATCCCGTACAAAGTGCCATGCCACCTTAATGTGCTTGGTGCGCTGATGGAGAACGGGATTGTGGGCAAGGGAGACAGCAGCCTCATTATCACAGAGCAATGGAATAGCCCCCCCATCCCCCACATGCATCTCTGCCAACAAACTCCTCAACCAAATGGTCTCCTTGGCCCCCTCCGATAGAGCTTTGTACTCAGCTTCAGAAACGATTGCTGCGACACTGTCTTGCTTTTTGCTATACCAGCTGATTGCTCCTCCTCCCAGCTTAAAGATGTAGGCAGAGCGACTCTTGCCATCAGTCTCACCACCCCAATCCGAGTCTGTGTACCCAACAACCTGCTCACCACCTTGGCGCTCATACCTGATGACACGATCAGCTGTGTCGACCAAGTACCTGAGTGCTCTCAGTGCAGCGCGCATGTGAATGCGTCTTGGTGCCACGCAGGACTGTGCAAGGGTGTTGACAGTGAAAGACATGTCAGGACGGGTGGTCACAGCAGCATACATCAAGCTGCCAATGAGACTCTGGTACACCTTGACATCAGCTGCAACACCTTCCTCAGGCGACCAAGTACCATTTCTGATCTTAGAGAGATCATTGGGTGACATTGGAGTATGCACCCTATGGGTCTCCTTCAGCAGATCACCAAACCTTCCCTGGAGACCACGGACATACTTCTCCTGACCAATCTCCAACCACCCATCCTTGACCGACCTGCGAACCTCCACACCAAGGTACGTGGATACCTCACCTAGATCCTTCATCTGGTACCTCTGAGCAAGCACCTCCTTGACCTGACCGATCAGCTCCAAGCGTGGAGACACAAGCAAGAGGTCATCCACATACACCAATACATACACTGGCTCTTCATCCACAAACCTGATGTACAGAGCCTCATCACATGCACTACGGTCAAACCCTGCTGCAATCAGGGTGGTACCAATCTCCTCATTCCAAGCACGAGGCGCTTGCTTGAGCCCATAGAGAGCTTTGCGCAAGCGATACACCCCACCTGTACCATCATCAAATCCCTCAGGTTGCCTCACATACACCTCCTCTTGAAGGACTGCATTGAGGTAAGCATGATTAAGATCCTCCTGTTGTACATGCCACCCTTTTACCGCGGCTTCTGCAAGAAGCACCCGACCTGAGGTGAGCTTGCCCACAGGGGCAAATACCTGATCATAGTCCTTCTCGGGCTCCTGAGTGTACCCCTTAGCAACAAGGCGAACCTTGTGCTGTACCACCTTATCCTCCTTGTCAGTTTTCCTGCGGAAAACGTACCTGACCCCAATGGCCTTCTTACCTGGAGGTAAGTCGACCGGCTCTGGATCCCATACACCCATAGTGCGCATTGCATTTACCTCCTTCTCAGCGCCTGCCTTCCACGCAGGGCCCTCAGGGCCACGCAGGGCCTCAGCGAGTGTGCGTGGGACATCACCGGTGCTCACACCTGCCAGTGCAACACCTTCCACCTCCCTGGCCAAACACAGCATGCCCTCAACCACACCAGCATCCCCCCCTACCTCCTCACCACCTGTACCAGACTGGATACCAAGCACCTGCAAACCCGTAACCGGTGGTGGGGAGGTAGTCGCTGGTGACGGAGGGGTACCCGTAGAGAGAGGGACAGAGCGCTGACCAGAGGAGGAGGAAGAGGAAGTAGCCTGTGTAGCGGATCTCCGCTGAATGACCGAGGGGCCACTGAGCTGCTGCAGAGGGGTGGGCAGCTGCTGCACCGACACACTCAGCGGTGCCGGTGGCAGTGATGAAGGTGGCATCTCAACGTCGTCAGCCGTTGCGGAGGGTGGCGAGAGTGGAAGAGGGAGGAGTTGGGAAATTGCAGCTGCATCCTGCAGAAGCTCCCCAAATCCCTTTGCCTTGTCCCAATCCTTCCACATCACATTCTCAAGAAAATCAACATCCCGAGCAATGCGAATGCGCATGAGAGAAGGGTCCAGCATGCGCCAACCCTTGCTCTCCATGTCCACCCCAACACAGACACACATGACAGCCCGTGCATCAAGCTTGCCACCCTTCTCATGCCCATGCAGCATGACACTCCCCATGCAACCCCAAATCCGAGCCATGCCCACATGCGGCTTCTGGCCAGACCACGCCTCCATTGGTGTGATGGAGGCAGGCAAAGCACTGTGGGTGACCCTTTTCTTAACCCACACGACCCACATCAATGCTTCACCCCACAAGCGAGCAGGGAGACCACTGTCGACCAACAATGTGCGAATCCCCTCTGCCATCGTCCTGTGCCACCTCTCCACGACCCCATTCTGTTGCGGTGTATCTGCGACGCTCAATTGAGTTTTAATGCCAAACTCCGCCTTCCATGCCTTTACAGCTTCCCCCAAGAACTCGCCACCCCTGTCCGAGCGAACAGCCTTCAGCTTCCGCCCACACTCCAACTCCACGTCCTTATGCCACTGGCGAAGGACTTTTGCAACTGTGGCCGATTCCTTGTTGGGGAGGGGGAACGACCAAACTCGTCTGGTGAAGTCGTCAATGAGACTGAGGACATTCACCGCTCCTCCCAGTGACGGTGTGCGCACTGGCCCCCACAAATCCATGTGGACCTCATCCAAAGGCCCAAGTGCCCGAGACGCCTCGTGGGGAAACGGCTTCCGAGCCGACTTTCCCAATAAGCAAGGCTCACATGGGGAGCAATCAGTGCTCCCCCCCCCAATCTCCAAGCCCAGTACACT